TGCGCCACTATAAGCGGCTTGTGCGGCGTGACTCGATCTTTCGTATTTCCGTCCGCCGTGTTCGTGCCGAATGGCGTGGGCGGGTTTCGAGGCTGGTGGATGTTTGGTTCGATGGCGCCGCGGGGTGGAGCGGGACCGCTCAGCCGGTGGAATAGCTTTTAGCAAATCTCCTCGCAACCTCCGCCGGATATTTGTGCGCTGTTCGGCACGGCAACCGAGCCGTGTCGACGGAGCATGCCTGTCGTGACCAGTCGCTGCTGGGAGAATCGGAGGTCCAACCCCCTCAGCGGATATTGCTTCTTGAGGAGCGCAAGGAACTCCCAATGTCTTTTCGTGTATATCGCTTTGTGGACTACAGAAATGGTTCTTTTTGTGGTCATTTAAACGCTCTCCTCCGCTCCGCCTTCCGAATCTCGAGCTTTTAGCTAAAAAATCCGGTCAAGGGCGCGGAAGCCGGAAGTCATATTTGTCCTGCCGGAAATCGGACCCTAACGAGCTAGCCGCCTGCTTCCGGGACTACCGTGGGTACGGGACAGACGCGAATTCAACATCAGGATGAGCGTCAAACGCCCGTGATTGCTTGTGAATTGAGTGAACCAATATAGGGCAATCCGTCCACGGGACGGGCTGTCGTCTTCCAGAAAGAGCACAGCAGAATTCAGACATTGCTTTAGCGTGCGGTAATAACGGTTATTTAGATGTCCGGTGTGGGTACAAGTGGCTGCTCTGCATACTTCCCCGCCGGTTATGAGCACAGTCCACCTGATCCGTGCGAAACTTGGTGGGTTGTCGCCAAATTGTGTGAGCATGGGCTGCTGTGTGGTAAGAAACGGGTCTGATGTAACTCGAGCCTCCTGGGTAATTATTTTGGCTGTCACACAACCAGTCGGCGACTGTTGCTAATAATCGCACATTAATGACCACAGCTCCTCTCTATTGTCCGATTGGCAAGGCAAGACTAAATGTGCAAAAACCTGAAGGGGGCAAGACTGGCAAGACTGCGTGCAAAAGCTAAATACAATAGGTTTCACCATGCTACTCAATATCCATGAGCGGCGCTGATCGAGCTTTGACCGGAGTTGGGCCACCTTCGCCAGGAGTTACTCATTCCTCTGCTCTAGCTGCACCTTCATGGTGAAATCTGCCTACGGCATCTGATTGCCCCTGCGACTGGAAAGCGCCGTCGGTTCCCTCACTTCACATTAAGTCTTTGGCCCGCCACCGTGGCGTGGAGCGACGCCGATAGCCAATCGCCCAGCCCTTCGCCGGGGCCTCCGAACGAAAGTGCCGGCGACAAAGGCGTGCCGACAGCCGAGCAGCCGGATGTTATCGCGAGGCTGCGGCGCGCCCGGGGTCGGCCGTGCGGTCGCGCATGGACGAGTCCACGCGCGGGGGTAGGCGGACTCCGGCCTGCCGATGACGTAACACTGGATCTGTTGCCTTTCCAGGACGTTACCCGCACGCCGCTTCGAGGACCTGTCGCTCGACGCGCCGCCCGACCCACGGGCGACCAGCAGGCATCCAGAGGGCATCGTGAAAGTGAACTCTCGTTTGGCTTCCGCCAGCGCCTGACGTCAGAGCGGTGATTACGTCACCGGTTCGAGCCGGCGCCGCGCAGTGTCAGATCCGCGTGCGTCCGCGTGCGTCTGCGTGCGTCCGCATGCGTGGCATGCTGTAGCGTCACCTCCGCCCCCCAGCGGCAGCGTGCACGTCGATGAAGACCAACAAGAGCAAGAGCGTGACGAACCTGGCGGCGGCGCAGGCGCAGTACGCGTCCACGCCGCACCTCTTCGTCTTCCAGTCGAACGAGGAGGCGGCCGTGCTGCACAAGCCGGAGCCCATCTACCAGTCGGCCGTGGACGTGCGCGCCGGCCGGCTGGCGGCCGCGCAGCGCATCAGCGAGAAGTACGACTCGTACCGCAACCTGGCGCGTGACGAGGAGCAGCCGCTGACCGTGGGCGACGCCGACATCGCCCAGGTCGAGTCCTTCTTCGCCGGGCACAAGACGCAGGTGAGCAGCCGGGGCGGGGCGGGGGCGGCTGGGGCTCGGTTTGGGGGCTGGTTGGCGCTTTACTGCTGGTTTTTGGTTATTTGGGAAGAGTTTGTTCGTTTTGATAGAGTCCGACGCTCGTCTAGGAATACATTATTTATTCGTCTAGGAATACATTTATTATGTCGGCAATGGTTAGAAAAGGCGGACGCGCTGCTTTTTAGCATGCATACAACTTACAAGAATACGTTCACGATGGCATATGTCTATGACATGGGCCTCATGCATCAGACACATCACCACGGGGATAAATGAGCAGATGTAGCGAATGCTTTTGTCGCCCAGTATCACTTCATCGGCTTTCGAACGTGCATTGTTTCGGACAGATCAGGGCAGGACGGAGACTCGTATTCCACAGATCGCAGCACAGTTATGTGACCAGTGATTTCGCGATACGCCTTATCTCAGATCTGATGGATGTCGGCTCTCTGCTAAGCTCTGCCGGAATAGAATATCTCCGAACGCACTTGGCATTTGGGTAATTGTTAGGCTGCGCCTGTCACAGAGCTTCCCACACTCAATCTTCTCTGAAAGGCCGACGCTTCTTTTGTTCCGATGACGGAACTGACACCCATGCGGCGTGGAACGCGATAACACCGAGACTGTTTCCGAAAATGAAAAAAACTGCCGGAGCCGAGACCACCAACCCTGCAGCCGACGGGATCAATGCCCCCGCCCACTGCATCACCCCGGAGCACGCTCAGAAGCCCCGGAGAAAAGTGGAGCGGAAGAGCTCGTGTCGCGTGTTACCTTGCACATAACGTGGGCCGCGATGGGAACTCTGCCCGCTTTCCCCATTGAACGCTCGGTTTGGGAGGAACCACAATGTAACGACCACGGCAGTGAATAGGAGCAAGGAAACTTGAGAACCGCCCTCGGCCGTCGTGCACTATGCTGGAGACTAACCACATGTCTGCCGTTGTTCGATAAATGACGACCGGGAGCCGCTGACCGCCACTCGCCTCGAGGCGCTCCGGGGGCTGGTTCGCTCGTCAACTCTCCCGGAAGCCAAGCTGAAGGTTAAACGGGACAGATGAGCTTGGATTCTTTGTGAGGGTTTTATCAGCTGCTTGTGCCGCAGCTTGGAGGCATGAAAGACCCATTATTTGACGTGGGTCATGGATCCAGTGCCCTTTCTCATTCTCTAACATAACTGCTTTATTATAGCATACCAAAAGAACATTCCTCGAATAAAAATGATAGACCGCTGTCCTCTCAGTAATAGTTATTAGTTGTGGTAATGAACCCTCTATAGACGGAATGTTTTATCGTCTATGATCACCTGTAACGCGGGTGCATTAAACACTAGCTCTCTTTTGTCCGCACCACTTTAGTACCGGTCCAACTTCCTTTTGTGTTCGTGATAACATCTTTACTCGCTTATCAGTGCCGACAGCGACAGCCGAGCTCTCCGCGGCCAGTAAGAGTTGAAACACCTCGTCACACTCACCTCACACCCATGGTTCTCACCCCAAACTCACGGTTTTTCCTAAACTCCGACTCCATTCGCAAACCCACGGTTCTCATCTCAAGCTAGAGGACCCCATTCCAAACTCACGGTGCTCGCCCCGAACTTACATCTTCATGTCCAACTCATAGGTGTGTTTCAAAACCAATGGTTTTGATCACAAACTCACGGTTCTCATCCTGAACTTCGTTCACATCTCCCACTTGCGGTTCCCTCCCCGGGGTCTCCCCGCAGACACTTTGGCCTAGCCACCCCGGCGTTCCACTTGTTCCGCAGTCTGCGGGTCACGGCGGCTGTCGGTTTCACTCGGCGTTGGGCGCGTCCGAGCGGTCTGTAATTTGCCTCGCATTCATGCGGACGGGCGAGACGACCGGATATTAATGGATCCTGGCCGCCAGCGTCCTGACACGACGGCGAACGCAGGGACGCGTTCCTCGGCCGTCTTACCGCAGCCGGTGATTTCGCCTCACCATAACATGGACTTAGAACACCCTGATTGATTTTAATTTTACGGTTGTTTTATGTGGCCCCCGATCAAGCTCATTGACCGATGCAAGGGAGTTTACATACAGCGCTTGTTTGCCACAGTTTGTTCGTGATGGACCGTGGGCAGTTGCGTTGCTTTACGACTGAGGGGATTCGGCCACCGTAAAATCATTACCGAGTTTGGTGCATGAGAGCTTGCGTCATCACCTCCCAATTGATATGGTGCACTGGATTAGGCGCTTGAAGGTCATCCACGTTTTTAGAAAAAGAATAATACAAAGTAAGTTGTATTTGGAGATATGGATTAGTTACTCCGCGGCCCAGTAGGCCTGTGGTTGAGAGTCTGCGAATCCGTTGCTTCGTTTCTCAGGCACGTTAATTAACCAAGCGTTTCATTAATTGTGAATTTTATCACGCTGATTTGTCGAAAGTCTCATACATTCCAGTGCGTTAATTGGTAAGGTGATTAAAGTATGGTCTGAGCTATGCTAACTATATCGCGAGCTTAAGCTAACGTGCCACTAGATATTACTGCATCCGTTTGTTTTCAAAACACTAAAAAATTCAAGCGGTTTTATTTGAAGGTCATTTATTGTTGCTTGCGGCTAACTTTTGTTTCCATACGTTTGGTAGCCCATGGACAGCTTACCAGTCAACGTGGGCAGTTTTGCCGCTGACCGCCCCAGAGTCGTTTGTGTGACGCACATGCTGTTTTGGGAACTACATCCTATGAATGGAAGTTCAAACTGGTTATGTTTAGAAACGATTGCTATGCGCGTTGATTTCCATCAAATTTGCAATGCTTTTGCGCGTTTGCTTTCGCCGGAAGCACAGCCTAGCACGCCCTGCATGCAAAACACTTATAGCCCGTGAAAGCTTATAGCTTTAGCTGCGCTTGAAGCTTACACGTGTAATTGACCAAAAATTTGGAACTCCAGATTCGTAATCGCCTGAACGGTCTCCGAACCGGAATAGAATACAAGCGCAAAGCCTGCATGTACGAAGTATTAGCAGTTAACATGGCAATCACGCTCTTGATGGCAGAGTTTGTAATCTCTTACGAAGTCGTTGCTGGCAGTGCACTGGTGGTTTCACTGTGTAATGACCGCTGGCCATTTTTGCTCTGGTGCTGTCACTGGTATAAATGGCTTACGTTTGTCCAAGCGAGGATAGCTCCAGGGAATACCGAGAAGTTAAATTTATATCGGAAAAGCATTCCCATTAAAAACGACCAGCTTTGTCTCCACAGCACTACGTTTCAGTCCTAGTAGATTTTTCGAGGAAGACTGCCAAGAATGCCCAGTATCATCCTGTTTGAAGATGTAATTTGTCAGGCTTATCATTTATGACCACGTCTACCAACCAACAACATCCAAAGCATCTCGAGACGCTGTTCGTCTTTTGGGCTGGAATGTTTATGTATAACAAGATGGATGAGCCGTAGTTTTGAACCGCTTAGGCGTTGACATTAATTTTAAGTTTATACAGCCGTTTATCTCCCACGAACTTATCAGTCATTGAGTGAATCCACGTTATGTCTTTGTTATGCCTGTCTTCCCAAACACTCAACGTTCTGTGCCCTGTTTTCAACGTCAATCAAATGTTTATCGATATAATGTTTATTAATACGAGATAAGAGCAAACAACGTCCTCCTAACTACGGAAATACATACCCGCAATCCAAGTGTCGTTTGGCTTTATGGAGCAGCCGGCGTCACATGCTGGCTGACACATGCTGGCCCACACGATCCTGAAGGGTCGTGTGATCCGCGTTGGCAGAGTCTGACCCGTCAGCATCGTGCATGTTTTGGCGAGAGTGTTTACTGTTGGGCCGGTGGTGGTGGGTGTTTGGGGACAGGCAGCGGATGCGGGGGGGGGGGTATCGTTTGCAGGGTGACGTTATGAACGAACATGACGCGCCGTTTGGAGAACCAGGGATCACATAAGCCCTGAAGGTCTTGGAGTGTTTTCCGGCGGTCCGTCCAGAACGTTTCAAACAAAATTAATTCCTGTTTGGGCCTCGTTTTCCGCCTGATATTCCCTGCCAAACGGCACGCTCGTCAAAATCATCACTCATATTGCCATGCCTATTACTTCTGAGATGGTGCTTGTTCGTGCACAGACCATACAAAACAACCGCTTAAGGATCAACGAAGTTACCACTGCTGGGGCTTTCCAAGTGTGGTGCCTCACGCATGCGGGCACAAATACCAGGAGTGGCTGTATTGTCATACTGGATTGTTAAGCACCACTGCCGAATGAATGCGAAGCTATTCGTGTTGAGCAATCCGGCTCCGATACATCAGCCACGGATGTAAGGCTCAAAAGTACATATGGTGATGAGTGGGTGTGGCGTGCATACCTGCATAATCCTGCGGACGTTTGCACGAACGCTTTTCAAAGAATTACATCACTTTACAGCACGTCGACGGGATATGAGGGACTCAGCCTTTGTCGAGACACCGACGCTGCAAATCCATGGCGAGGCATAGCGTGGCACACTGGGTGCTGAATCACGTGAAGGAATGCGCGGACATTTTGACGGGCGATGTGCTAGCCGTCTCATGAGCTGCGATCAAGGCCTCGGTTTGCGGTGAGCCAGGGCTAAGAGACTAAAAGACTGCAGCTGCTTTGTGGTCACGGCAATGGTTGTCGATCTTCAGCTCTTCGGAAAGTTTTGCACTCGCCGTCTTGGGACCGGAAGTGCTCAAGCTGTTCCGTCACGCACATTGGCGGCGTGCAGCCCTTGGGTAGTCTCTTGAGCAGCAGATGCGCTTCAACGTGCTAGCTGTGAAATATTTCAACAGGACGAGGCGGGGGACTCATCACGTGGTGCCTCAGGCGGAATTTGACTGGAGAGTGGAGGTGTGCTAGTGACGTGGGGCTCATTACCGCCTAGCTCATAAGGACACCTGGAGATGATTGCAGTGCAGGGAGCAGTTAAGTATTATAGCTACAGCATGCCACTGAAGCCAGACTGGCGGAAGGAGACGAGTTAAGTTCAATCCATCAAAATTCCTTCTGGCATTATCATCCTATCCATGCTACATCAAAGGCTTCAGCTGAGTAAAAGTCACGCGAGCGGTAGTCTTCTGTTTACCGATCGCTCGGTCCATTCGGTCCACTGTTTATGGCAGGTTATGATATGCATCGAAGGCTTGCTAATGGAAAGTTAAAGGTGGCATATCGGTTTGTCATCGGAAGTGGGGTCCAGCTTCGTCACTTTTTTCCAAGATGGTAACCAGCGCCACAGAGCCCTTGTAACCGGTGCTCCATCGTCACAGAGCTCTTGTAACCGGTCCTCCAGCGGCGCAGAACTCCTGTAATCAGTACTCCATCGTCGCAGAGCTCGTAACCAGTACTCCATCGTCGTAGAGCTTGTTACGGTACTGCAGCGTCACAGACTCCGTGACGAAACATAGCCCAGTCTGTGGTGCTGCGTCAACAAATGGAGTCACGATTTACGTGTGCACCATGGCGGCCTAAGATATAAACATCCACAGCCGTCGGTGGCGGCAGCTCATTGTTGGTTTAGTGCCAGCTCGGGCTTTCCATTCATACTTGCAGGGGCACTTTCACTCGGGCACCACGCATCTGACCGGAATCTAAATCAGCCGGCACTGACCCACATGTGGGTGGCACCGCAGGCCCTGGCGGCCATGTCGTATTCACATGCATACAGCGCCTCCGTCTCCAGGGCAGGCCGTTCTGTAGTTAGCTACCCATGCCTTGTCATGCTGTCATTTCGAGTCATGAGGACCCTGAGACGCTTTACTGTGCTCTCCTTGTAATTAGCGCCAAGCGCATTCGGCAAGGCGCACACTGAAGACCGCCGCTGTGTTCCGTGTTCCTTAATTGCCGCCGCGATTGGAAGCTCTCTTCTAGCTAACGGATTGGTCGTAACACATTGAAGGTGCAATGTCAAATGAAGGTGTCGACTGTGACAGCCAGTCCACAACACAGTCATGGACAAACGCGCGTTCCACATCCCTTTCTGAACAAGCGCTCATCGATCAGCGCAGCCGTTCTCCGGGAGCGGGCTTGGGATGCGAATGAGATGGCACGCCGGCCGAAGGCGTCCTTTCGCAGGTGGAATGGCTTAGGGAGACCAACGCGTCAGTTAACGTATGAAAACCAACCCGTCGCTCTGGAGTGAAATACAGGAGAGCCAAAAGCCTCAGTTGAAGACATTTCCAGAATAATCGGCCAGGATTCAGCGTTACAGTCCTACGTCAGATTGCTGCGAAATGTTTCTATCCTAGTCCACCAGCACCCTTACATGTCGACGCCCCGTTGATACGCTGGTTTTGCTCTACGAGTACGCCGGACTGTCTTTCAGGAGGTGTGCCACACTCGCAATGTGTGCTACCGTGGGTTTTCCAAGTCGCGGGTGGATTTACGACCACCGTGGGCTCCTTATGGTGACAGATGCCCCTATCTGCCCCCTGATGTGGGCTGTGGATGAGCACTTTGTGTCCCCGGGAGGTCATCTCCGCTCCGCCCGCCTCACGAGCCGCATCGTTATCCTGATACAGCACAGCCTCTGCAAGGATTGTGCCATTTGTGTTCCACTCTCCGAGCATTGCAAAACTGCGCGGCGGCGGCGGTCGGCAGGATGGGTTTCCGCTCTAGTTGGGCCGACTTGGGGCGGGACTCGTCGCGGCAGCGTAGCCGGTCTGCACTGCGGTCGTCGCCGCGGGAGGTCGGCGCGTGTGTGACGGCCGACCTCACGTGCGCGCGGTGGCACGCCGGCTAACGAGCGTGCGAACGCCAGGGGCGCGTTCCGGGGCGAGATGATGACCGTGACGACGAGATGCGATGGGTACGGCGAGGGCCGCGTGCGATGTCGGCATATGGTGACACGTGCACAGTCCCTGTAAGGCTGGAACAAGCAGGAAGGCAAAGTAGACGAGGGGGAATGGTTGCTTTCATGAAGACTGACATGGGAAACCAGCGCATCAGCGCGGATTCGCAGGCGGAATGAGGAAAGTGTCCTTGCGATCCGAGGCTGTTGAGGAAAATTGATCCAGTAGTAAGCTTTGTAGCTCAGTAGTTTTACAGCGCCAAGAACTGATAACTGATATCGTAGACTGGGTCGCGTGTCCGAACACGCATCGCATGCCGGTTGTTTCAGGGCCATAGCTGGTAAGCTTCAGCGTCTGCTGCCGGTCTTTCCGGTTGGGTCTGAGTGCTCAGGTGATCAGATATTTCGAATCCTAAAAGCTCATGTGTGAAATATATTGTGGGCATGACGTGAATCGCGCCAGCTGTTCACAACACTACCACGCTGCCCTGCTTGGAAATGCGCATTGAGATGGCAGCACAGGATTATTGAGAGACGTCTTGGACGGAGAGCGGGTTATGTCACTGACCCTTTGGGACGAATACTCATCGGTGTCGAGCTGCCTTCGGATGCCACAGACGGGTCGTAGAATCTAGCTCCCATCGGCGAGCAACCACACCTCCCGCAGAGCTGACGTGCTGTCCCTGAGCGAGCCGTTACACTCGGCTCGTGACATTGAAAGGCCTGGACAGACCAAGCAGGACCGGACCGTACGCTACTGGACTGGAACAGACCGGCTGAAACGGGCAGGCGGAACGAACGGAGTTGAGACCGGAGACGGGGGCGGGACAGAGCGGGACGGGACGGAAGCGTAGATGGAGACGGAGACGACGAGGACGGGGACGGGGACGGAGACGGGGACCCGGGACCGGGACCGGGACCGGGACGGGACGGGTCAGGACGGGACGGGGGACCGCCGCTGTGCGGCCGAGATCGGGCCGCGATCTCTTGCGTGCCCGTGGCATTGTTTAGCCGTCGCTCGGCCGCCCATCACGGTCACGCCGCGTTCTGTATCGTTAATCATGCGCCGTGTCACTGACCGGGCACGGTTCGGCGCGCCCTGTCCTCGGGTCACGGTATCCATCACGCTGTGTCCGTTAGACTTGTGTTCCAAGTCGCTGTTCGATATTTATGTCGTAGTCTGCTCACGCCACACCGCCTATTTGGTGCGCACCACACATTTTTAAAAGGATGTAGAATAGTGTCATCTTTCGTCACGCGTGTTTTATTATTTATTCCGGCAATATTTGCCTTTTCCAACACGTTCTGCACTTTCGAATGCTAATATAGCAACTTTGTACACGTTGGCCTTCGATACAGCCTCCGTATCAACTATCGGTGGCCGTCCCACTCACTACAATCAGCGTGTGCGTTCCACCGCGCGTGCCGCTCCAATCTCACACCGCCTCTTCCGCCGTCAGGTGATCGTGTGCCGCGCGCTGGCCAACATGTACCTCAGCTCGGAGTCCAACTCGTGGGAGCTCAAGTACACCGGCATCCCGGCGCTGGTGGTCGACGCCGGCGACACGCGCAGCCGCGGCCGCCGCCTCATCCAGATCGTGCTCGCCGAGAAGGGCACCAGCTTCATGCTGTGGCGCGACGTGGTCGACAACCTGTCCAACTACACGGCGCCCGACCCGAGCTTCCACACTATGCACCTGTCGACAGACCACCGGCACCGCGTCGGCTTCAGCTTTGACGACATCGAGGCGGCCAAGGCGTTCCAGGCGCAGCTGGAGACGCTGTGCGCCGATCCGGCCAACATCAGCCTGTCGGGGCCGGCGCAGAAGAAGCGCAGGAAGAAGAAGGTGGAGCGCTACGTGCGACCGCGCAAGGAGGACATCTCGCAGCCGTGCTGCTTCCAGCACGTGACGAGCGTGGGCGCCTCGGACATGGACCGTTTCTACACGCTGCAGAGTCTCGTGGGCGGCAAGCTGACGTGAGGGCGCTGGGCCGCTCGGTGCCATAGTGACCGCTGACGGGTCGCGGGTCACGGGTCACGACGCCGGACGCGTGGGCCGGGCGGCGCGCCGCGGGCGGTGTTGTGATGCACCCGGTGTTTTCGTCGCTCAGGCGGGGGGCGTGTTTTAGAGGCGGCACGCGCGTGAGATGTGTTTGCCACCGGCGCTGCGTTCGAGTGTGATCTGTGAAAGCCGTGAAAGCCGCCGGACTGACGCAGCCCGCAAGGTGCTGAGCGGTTTCGACACGGGAGACCTCTGTCGACCGGTGTGAGTGGCCGAGCCGCGCCGACTCACGCCGGCCCGAGAAACAGGCAGCGACATTCGAGAGCGATGTGGCTAGTTCTGTGCTCATGTGGAGATCTGCTCTGTTTCACATAGATCGACGACGATGTGTTTTGCAGCATGTTAATGCACCGAGTGCGCGATGCAACGAATATGTGAAATGTGAACTAGTCAGACAAAGCTGTTCTGTTTGGCGAACAGTGTCGGCCACAGCTGGGCAGAATGTGGCTACCTAAGCGATGTAAATAAGTTCCGGACTGGGACAAAATCTGGCCGATGCGAACATTTTAGCTAAATATCTTGAACTGCTTCAATACGGCAGGTGTTGTCATCATGTTCCCATACTTAAGACAACCCCGAGCTCCCGTAAATTCGTCATAGGATGGTAGGTACCCATTGTGTTATTTATGCTGAAAGCAGTCTGACGTGTATCTGTGATTTGGAGTGTTTTATGCGTCCGCTTAGCCCAAGTGACTTATTGTCGTTTTTGTCGTAGGCTGCGACGCCGACCGAGTTATTCGAGTCTAATTTATGCTGCTTTCCGTACGTGTGGCCATTTATCGCGATGTCTCAAGCTGAATACACGCAGGATGTGTAATTTATGGGGGACAATATCCGAGGTCCGCCTCAGCCCCGTTACCCTCGGAGGGAGGCGACCGTATCTGCGTCTCTTTTGTGATCAAATGAGCCGCCGCAAGAGGCTTTCTCCGAGATAAGGTTACCGCTTCCGGGCTGTTGTTCATCGCTTTGCATGCGACCTGTGTGTCCCGAAATGTGAGTCATGCGCAGTGTGTTGACCAGTGTCACAGTGTCAACCGCCGTAGTGTCCACACGCACAGTGTCCAACGCCGTAGTGTCCACACGCACAGTGTACACTGCCGTAGTGTCCACACGCACAGTGTCCACCGCCGTAGTGTGCACTGGCACAGAGTCCAACGCCGTAGCGTCCACGTGCACAGTGTTCACCACTGCAGTGTCCACAACGCACTGCCCAAGGCCATAGCGTCCACATGCACAGTGTCCACTGCCGTAGTGTTCACACACGCAGTGTCCACCACCGGAATGTCTACAGGCACCGTGTCCTCTTCTGCAGTGTGGCCCCATGTGCCCAATGCAGCGTTTCTCCGATCACGGGGTAATCGGCGTGACCAGCGGCCGCGAAGCGTTTCCTTTCATTGGCTCCACCAACGCGCTACTAGCGATCCTTTATAGGCCTTCTTCGACTATCAGGCAGCGCCAAAGGAGCGCCGGGGAGAACGAGAGAGAGCTGAACTTCGGCCATTGAAGAGGACGCTTGACAAGGGAAAGGATTGATGCCATGATCCGGGATTATTTCGGCACTGCGATGTGCCGTCATTTCCCTCTTAAACTCCGAAACGTTCCATGAAACGCGATAAGCTTCCCTCAGCAGGCTTAAAACTTCGCAAGCGCTCGAAGATCGCGTCTCGCAACGTGCAGCTCAACGGCCCACCGTATGGTGCCTCATGAGTAGCACCAGTATGTCCGTGGTAGAAGCTGGAAGCACGCCGCGTGGCTACGTCTCGGGCTAGACTGCTGAATCGCACGCATAGGTCTAAAGCGATTTCAATGCAATAAAAATGCCCGTGCTTTTGACGCTTTCAGACTCGCGCTGCTAGCAGCGCATTCCTGAGAGTTGCCACAATCAGCTTGGCAACTTGCCACCTCGTTACTGTCAGCATGTCAGCTTGTCATAGGCACTGCGCTGGGTGTGCGGGTACTTCGGCGTTGTCGCCTCGGCTGGTAGATCCCGTAGTGATCGATGCTGATCTCCTGCAACCGGGCCGTTGAGGGTGCTGATCCGGTCAGCTGAACGTGTCGCGTGCAATGCACCCGTGTCGTCTGAAGGTCAGCCGTCATTCCGTCGTTCACCCAATCCGCGCTCGCCCTCGGCCCGTATGAGTGGCATTGCACAGCGAGAGCCGCTGTGTCGAAACCCAGGCCTCACGCTGTGCGTCGCGAATCACGAGTTTGCGCCGTCGGCGGGCGACGCCGGCGCCGTACAAAAACCCCGCCTCCTCTCCCGCCGCCTCCCAGTCAACGAACCCGCTTTTTCGGCGGCGATGACGGCGCATTCACGGCCATCACAGCGCGCCGGTCTTGTCAGCGGACGGCGGCGTCTCCGGACTGCGAGATCAGCTGTGCCGTGCCGACGGTAACGGTACGCGGGCGCGCGCGCCGAGTGGCGGAGAAGCGTCCCGGTGCGGGCAGCGTCTCGAAGGGATCTTCTGCGCGAGGTGTTCTGGTCCAGAGCCGCCGCGGTCCGTTCGGCGGCGTTCGCAGCGGTTCCATTTGATGCGATAGAAACTCTGGTTCCGCCAAGCGCCATTCCAAGCTGGAGCGAGCGCCGCCAGAGTCGGCCGATTGGAACGAATGGACAACGAGCGGGCTTCGCTCTCCTGATTTGATCCGTCTGTGTGACTATGGTTGGGGATTCGATCACCAGACGTTTATCTGATCAGTCACACCCGCATAGAGACACCTTTGTACACCTTTGTACATTTTTGACATAGGAATGGTCGGTTTGGCTGTCAAACGTCGATTGCATGCAAGTGACAGGCGCGCTCGACTGCATGTTGGTGGCAATGTGGCCAATTACCGCTACAGGATCCCCTTTGTCGTCGCACCGAACTTTATGCATTGCGTTAAACTTAGGCACATGGGGATACGTTTAACGATGGAAGGAAATTGCAGTGTGTTAGCTATGGCGGTACACCGATATCCGCTGGGAATGTCATGATTACAAAGGTTTTGTTATTGAGGGACCGTCATCCGGTGGTTTTGCCGCATGAACTTTTAGAAACGTTCTGATTACGTAGCCGTGGACCATCCACTCTTTGTGATAGCTTCGCATTATCCCTGTAATGATGTATGCACAATATAGCCGAAAAGGCGGTTTGTTCATTTGCTGCTTGCGACGTTCGTAATTTCTACGGCCTTGGTCTTTAGTGGTACTTCGGCGCTTAAATTTTGGTGCATTGTAATGAGCTGAAAAAGTGATAAAATACGCTCCTGAAAAAAGTGATAAAAATAAAAAGTGATAAAATACGCTGAGTCGGAGCCGTAGAGCGAAATGGTGCTGAAATCCACACAGTCCAATGAAACCCATATATTGTGAAATGCTTCTCTGGACTTATTATCCACCTCCCATGCCCCGCACTACAACGTTTGACGTACATGCACTTCCGCCTCTGTTATTGGGCCTTTTGATGGCTGGGAGATGTTAGCATTACTTTTACCATGCACGCTAAGTTTTCTTTTTCAGCGGAAATGCGCATGCTGAAAAATAGTTCACGTGGTGACGCTGAGGTCAAGCAGCGAATGCAATTCAGCTATGAAGACAGATTAATGCTGTGCAGGGAGAAAACTTTACACGCAAATAGCTTAACCGCTTAATTTTGAAGACCAGTAGACCATCAGCGGAACCTCTCGTGATGACACACAGAAGGCTGGCTTTGCATGGAGACGCATCCGGTACGTTATGGCTAAAACGTAATCACACATCTCTGAAGCTTCTGCGATGGTGTGCCCCTGCAGAAAACGTGGTATGACAGGTCTAACAGCGGCCACATAAACGTACATTGAGATCGCCGTTTTGTTTTGTTTAACATCCTCATTGGAATGCGCTCGTGACACCATCCTTGTTTCACCAACTTTCCCACCGCGGTCCACCCACAATGGTAGCTGCCTTGAACTCAACACCACTTATTTAAGTGATGTCGATTTCAAGGCAGAAAGCTTCCAAACCTTGAGAGTTTGTCTCTCAAGGTTTGGAAGCTTTCTGCACATTTTCATTTTCAAAATGCACATTTTCAGCTCTCTTGTTAAATCAGGTAATTGCAGCGAAGAGACAATGATGTTTCAGTCCCACCATCCCCATGCAAGCAACCGTTACGGTAGTATAATCATCTAGCCGTCAGTTCGGAAAGTCCTGTAGAAAGTTAAATCTGGATTGGTGAAAGCAAGCAAAAAACCAGCTATCCGGTGTCATCCAAGGGCGTCGAATGTTAACGCCGCACGATATCGGAATCGAATGACCTCACGGTGACGTCAATATGACATTCCTTGACATAAGTCAGCCTTTATCCGCGGAGATGTGAAAAACTCAGCAAAGGCTTTACGTTACCTCGTTTGGCAGAGCCTTACGGACTCACGGCAGAAGATAAAATGGCGTCCACTTCTCATCTGATTACGCCGATATGTCGTCCCGATTTTGGTAACATTGCGGCTTTGGAACTCGAGGCGTGGAATCAGAGTGTGCTCGTGGTGCTCCCTCCGGAATCCAGGGATTACATGGTGCACAGTTAAACTTTGCGCGCCTTCTGCATGCTTCAAGGACATTTCCGTATCTGGACCCGTGTATTTTTTGTTGCAACTGACGTTTGAACCATCATCCAATTAGTGTTTCCAGCTTGATACAGAGTCAATTGCATATTTCTTCTTTTATGCGCCTAAAACTAAAACACCCTCGTCTACCTCCTAAAAAAGGTGCAAGTCACTGGCTAGTTTCCTCAGCCTACGCAAAGGAGCCAGCCTGCCTGCAGCAAAACCTGGTAGACATAGGGAAAATCGGTTACAGTTGGCGTGCTTTTCACTTGTTAATTTTTCACATGCATACTTGCCATGATACTGAGTCTATTTTTGTTGCATTGTTGATACAGGCAGACTGCAACAACTTTCTGCCCATGACCCAATTTCATACTGCGAGTTGTACGCGATTAAGGGGTGTACTACCTAACGGACCCCCTGTATGGTGATCTGGGCTTTGGGGCGCACCGAGCACGTTGGTCATATGGCGCCCATAACCTAGTTTTTATTTAGCAGATGCATAAAGTGACCCTACTGTAGCAGTGGGGTGATGTTGCACACCGCCTGGAGCACAGGGTGCAGAGGGTCCGGACCGCTCGCAGCCGCCTTTCACCCAGATGGTGAAGTGCGCTTCGCAACGAGCTACTGCACATTTGATGGTCAGGAACCGAGGCTGGGGAGAGGCGCTGCGGTTCCACGGACATTCGGGTGCTACCGGATCTTATCTCCCTGGCGCGGCAGTGTTCCGCATCAGCCCTGGAACGGCGTGTGCTGCTCCAGACAGGTGAGTGACCATGGCTGCCCGTACATTGACGGCGAAATGTTAGCTGTTGCATCACGGCGTTCATTCGTGCTTCTATCCCGTGAAATATGAAATGCCGCTTGGCACCCTGGCCGTAGGCTACTGCTGAATCATAAATGGAATGCAAATACAAATACACTTCGAGGCCAGTTTTCAGGAAAATGTAGTCCATCATCCAATAACTGATAAAAATAGTGCACATTGTTAGTTACGCTCGTTTCCTTTCTTATTCCACCTCGTCCATGTTGTGACATCAGGAGCGGCGTATAATGTAATGAGACGGGGGCGAAAACACGCGAATCGGCAGTTTACCTGTGATAATCGATGATAAAAAGCAGTGGTCATAACGGGTATGCGGAAGGACGGATGCAGGCTGTGACTTTGAATGCGGGAACATCAAGTCCAATGCTTACTGGCGGAAGAACGGCGCGGAAAATACTTTTCTCATTTGCCAGGTCAACACTGGCATAAAACGTGTCCGCATTTTAAAGATTGATCACCCCAAGAACATGCAAACTTTTGATGGCTTTAGGTCCGAACAAGACTGAAGCATGATGATCCCAGGCCAGGCGGGACCGGTGATACCGAATATGGCGCTTCAAAGACGCTGTCAAGGTTTGAAGAGCAGGCTTCGTGGCAGCCGGCTCCACGACCTATACATACGCACTGAGCATGCGGCTGTTTACCAATGAACAAACTCAGGAGCTGAATCAGTTAATGGCGGTCGACCCGACCCGACCCGACTCGAGCCATTTTGCGAAGTTCGTTTGGTGTCGGTCGTAAGACGTTTTTATAATGGGGATTCCATAACGATTCAGGCAGTGCGATCTGTAGGACCTGTGGCATGCTACGATAGAATGAACGCATGGAAGAGTATCGAGTTACCTGCTCAAACATCGCCATTTTTGTGGTGGCCATGACCTCTGCACTCATTCAATGGTACCTTGTTACAAAACGTAAGGAGTATCGTACGTGTGTGAGATTCGTCTGGTGAAGGCTTAGGAATGATCGGTACTGTTGTCATCAGAAATAGGTATGTTTGCATTCAATGGATGTCAGTTCTGCTCGTCATCACCTTATCATGTCAGTCCTCGCTGTCAGTCACCGTCAGTCATGTCGGTCCTCGCTGTTAGTCACCACCAGTCATGCCAGTCCTTGCTGTCAGTCACCGCCAGTCATGCCGGTCCTCGCTGTCACTCACCGCCAGCCATACCAGTCCTCGCTGCCAGTAGTGGTCAGTCATATCAGTGCTCGCTCATCACCACATGATGTTTTGTATGCATACTGATATATATTTTTTTGTTCGCCGAGCCTGTCTCTACTCAGTCTAAAGAACCAAAGATCAAAGCATGGGTCACAGTGTGTGTTTTGAGAGCCGTTCGTTTCGAGTGAAGGTTTGTGCATCTACGAAAAATCCGTCTCCCAGTACATTAAGGATTATCTGGTTGACATACGC